TTCCAATTCTTTTTTTTTTCTTTTTTTTCGTTTGTTTTTTTTTTTTTCCTGGATTTTCTCGTGATTGCAGTATGGCCGAACACAGAGAAGACAGCCCGTGAGGGTGGCAGAAAAGAGGAAATGACGTTCGGTGGTGCGATGACGAGAAAGGGTTAAAGGGACGGCTAGTCGTGCGGTGCACGTGCGTACGCATGCCAACGTGAAAACGAAACGATCGTTTTTACCATCTGTGTAACTCGACCAACAACCACGCGATGCACCGCGTGTTCCACAATCGGTCATCACACGGTGCAACGCTCTCGCCTCCGCCAGCAACGATCGTTTCGTCTTCCGTGAATAGAATTTCCGTGCTAATACAAAAATAATGTATATATATATATACACATATATACATATATATACATATAAGTATATATAAAAATGGAGAGAACGTTCGATCAAATGCGTTCTCCCGAAAGGAGAGACAATCCCGACATACAATTATAGTCTTTCACGTTGAGGAACCATTTTTTCTCGGTGGTGAAAGAGGTACATGTACACACGAAGAGAGGGAAGGAAACAACAATGCTACCAAGTGGAAAACGTATTTATATACTGGGTACGACACGTTGCCCATCGTCGGCGGACAATCTTGCAATCAGTCTTGCAATTCGGACCGCGATCTTTTCTTTTTTCCTTTTTCTCTTTTCTTTCTTCCTTGATGCGTGAACCGCGAGTTCTGGTAGAATCTTCCGGCGGAACGATGTTTCGAGCGTCGTCTTTCGCGTTATCTTTTTCACCGTGCTCCAGTTTTCTTTTTTTTTCTTTTTCGTTCCAATATCCGTAATTTGATTCGAGTGAGAAAGAGGGCCACGTGCACGCGGGACGCGACGGAATTTGCCAAAGGGGGAAAACGCGAAAACCGTCGAACCGACGACTTTTGGGACCGCGCCAGAGGAACGAGGAGGAGGAGGACACGGTTAGGTATGTAGATATCGGAGGGCATGTAAGAAAAGCGAAAGCGACAACGAACGTGTTGTGCATCGCTCTGAGCGCGTGCATCGTGAGATAAAACAATCCACGCATGCTCCGTGGAAAGAAAAAAATATAGCGGAGCTAATCAATTTACGTGTTTCACCGAGTCGTCGTTTCAATCGACAACTCGTGCTCGGCTACCTCCAGACATTCCTCCTTGCAACAATCGTTGCGACCGATTGACCTGGTCGTTAACCCTTTGGCCACCTAAAGGCGCGTTTGAGGTGGTAAATTTTGATTTCGACGGTACTATATAGGCGATCGCTTGACGCGTTGCTCGAATCAAACTAAAGGTCGCCTGTTAATTACGGCAAACCCCACTTGGATTGAACGTGAGTGAGTTCCAATTCAAGATTATGTTTCGAGTTGTACCACACTTCATTTAGGTTATTGGATATATTACGAAACAAAGCTTAAAGCCACTGTTAAATCTTTAATATCTGCACTAATAAAAAATACGAATAAATAAATAATATCGATTGGCAATCTAGTACAATTTAATGTTTCGATCGTTTCAATATACACTGTTCACAAAAATTGGGGGATATTTCAAAGTGAATATGAAGCGATAAAAAAAAAAGGAGCATTTGATCTTTTTTTTTTATTAAACAAGAACATCAGGAAAAAGCAAACGACGTAATATCTTCTGGACGGTCTTGTACATCAAATACTTCTTTTCTTCATATTCATTTTGAAATATTCCCCAATTTTTACGAGCAGTATACTTTCTGAGAAATGCAAACACGCTGACGAAAAGTTTCATCATTCCCACCAGAGACCAAATCGGTAAAATACTGGTATTTTTAGGTTACTATTCGATTACGTTTGATGAAACCGAAATGGTGCGAATATCAGTATGATGCTATCGAAACGATGTTAGGTCGGTAGATGTATTTCGGTATAATAAAATATTAATATATTAGAAAAGGAAAAGGAGACAATGATTAAATGTTTTCATAAAACTGCCGATAGTAAATTTGACGACGCTTATACACGTATCCTTTATTATTTCTAATACTAATTCATCATTGTATCTCCATACAATATCAGCCACGATTACTCTTACTTAATTTTAAAAGATGACCGATTTCTCGACACGTTTTTCCTTTTTTTCGGTGAAAAATGACTAATTACTCGTACGTCAATAAATCGAAAGAGGAGTTGAAACAACGATTAATCGTAGAATGGAAGAATATTCCGCTAAATTACTTAAAAAGAATTACTGGAAATATGCCTAAGCGTCTGCGATATATTATTGAAGTTAAAGGCTACCTAACAAAATATTAATTATCGTTCATGTTAACAATTTTCAGGTTCAAATATTGTAGTTCCTCAAATGTCCGAATATTTTTGCCACGCTACATTTCGACATAGTTCAGTTTATTGTTTGATGTTAAGAAAAGTATGTGCAATAAATAAATAAAATGTTATTATAAGCTATAATGAATGTTCTATTATATTATTAAAAAATTAATCCAAATTTACTATTATAAACAATCGAAATCCACAACAATATTTTGAATAGCATGATGTCCGATTATTAATAAGAGTCACTGTACGTAGAAAATGAAAAATGTGTTTCCGTCGGTAAAGCGGTACCGTACCGATATATATTTCGGTATTTTTACCGTTGTGGACATCAAATACCGATAAAAATACGTGATGAAAATACCGGTACGACCGTCTTATACCGGTATTAAAACCGATTTCCCAAATAACGGTTGTATTACGCTAATATGGGAGCAAATACCGGTGTAATACCTAAACCTCGCAATATTTCGGTTTCAGTCTCTGGGCATAATACCTAAACCTCAAAATATTTCGGTTTTCAGTCTCTGGTTGCCACAGTCGGTGTAGATTTCCATTGAATTTCTATCGTATGCTACGTGCCGTAGCGAAAGGGTTAATCGACACGCGAGAGGATTGTACGCGATCACACATGAAACGTCAAGCTTCTCAGTTAAACGCACAACGTTGAACAGAGATCGGAGTGGAATGTCTGAAGGTCCGCGGTTCGTTCGTGACATCTCTGAACACGAGTGTTTGAACTCGTCGGCACGCGAGTCGTTCCACCTCACCTTGCGATTGATCCTGTCGATTTGCCGATTCTGATTCTCCAGCTCGCTGCCCATGTCGATCGCCATGTTTCTCAGATTGCCGATCATCGTGTTCACCTGGCCCATGTTCTCCTCCATCTCACCTTCACGAGCGTCGTTCGTGATCTTGGCGATGTAGCCACCTTGAGGGCCGAGCCCGTTGCGATCGTCCATCACCCGCTGCGGCTGATTGTTGACAACCTTACCGTCATCGTTCCCCTTCCACGTGCCCTCGTCTTCCTTGAAGCTGGCGCCTCTGCGGGGGAGGAAAATCAACGAGTTCGTCAGCAAATCGGTATCGTTCACGCGTTCACGATTCAGAGAGACAAGACACATCGAACAGACAGAAATGCTCTAGTTTTTTTTTCTCTTTGCTTCGAAAGATTTGCAAGACTTGCAAGGAGTCAAAAAAGAACTTCTCTTCGGAAGAATTTTAGCTTTAGATTTTTGTTTCTTTTCTTTTTTTTTTTCTACTCGGTACAGAGTGCGCTGTAAAAAAGTAGGTTCGATTTGAAAGGGTTAAGAAGAAGAAGAAGAAGAAGAAGAAGAAGAAGAAGAAGAAGAAGAAAAAGGGTAAAGCGATTCGGGACAGCCCTACTTGTTGCATGGAAGAACGCAGAGACCGCAGCACTTTTCCATTCCAGTGAGATTTTTCTCGGCCTCGCGCATGTCGGCGTTGATTTGGTCCATACCCTCCTCGATTCTGTCCAGTTGCTCTGTTTCATCGTACGAGAAAACATTATTAACACCATCCCCGCTGCGTGTTCGAAAACGTAACGTCTCGAAAGAGAACGGACAGCCGACGCGAAAATAAAGGAATCTTGTCGTTCTTCGTCTTGTCGCTCGTATGTAATTCGAAACAGAAACTTGCTAAAAAAAAAAAAAAATCGAATGCTCGAGAAAAGAGAATCAATGGGACAGATACACACGCTGTCCAGTTCTCTTTCGAGGGTCGAATGCTTCCTCAATAAATTCAAGTGAATCGTCATCATCTAAGTTATACATATCGAGGAATAGAGGGCACTTTCGATCTCGTATTGAACTCGTTTCGAAAAAGTCGAAGATCGATTGTTAAAGAAAAAAAAAAAAAAAAAAAAAAACTAGAAGATAACTAAAAATCTCTGTTCCTCGATTTTAAATGACGATTGGTGGTATTGTAATAATCTACGAGGCTTCGTCGAGAGTTAGTTATTCGCGATACGAAATTCCAGAGAAAGGGTTAGAAGTAATCAAAAGAAATTTACCAATAGACATTTAAAGGAAAAAGAAGAGAGAAACCGATACCGATAGAGCGATTTGACGAAAAAAAAAAAAGAAAAAAAAAAGAAGAAAAAAAATAGCAAACAAATCTCCCTCTCGACGAAGGATCCTCGGAAAAGAAAAAAAACGAGTGCAACGAAAGTGCAACAGCTAAGCAAAGAGTCTCCCTACTAAGGGTAAACCTAAAAGATCCTAAGATCGGGTGAGTAATTCTGTATGTACTGGGGTGTACGGTGGATTCTAAGGGTACTGGGTTACGAATTGAACCAAATATATCTCGTACGTAGAGTATAACGCGCTGATGCAAATGTGCCGGTCAACAAAAGTAATTACAATAGTAGAATTGCAAGTAGGTTTTGACTTACACCGTGCCGGAAGTACCGGAGGGATGCGTTTAAAAACGTGGAGCGCGTATTCTTTTTTCTTTTCTTTTGACATGTCTTTCTATTTCTCTTGTTTTTCTTTTTTTTTTTTTTTTTTTCGAGAATCGTATCATTGCACTTTTGTTTTATTTTTTCGATGACTCGCGAATAACAAAGGACAATAAAGAAATGAAAGCAAAGGAGCATCATGGCT